ACGTAAAGAACCATCGTCCATGCGGTGGCACAGGACAGCCCCGACCCCCCAAGGGGACGCGTCGCACTGAAGTATGAGTGGCTTGTTAGAGTCATAATGGACTAACGTTGGTGGCGAAGCAAGAGCTTGTTTTGCTTTATTGAAGGCATTTTTTTGACGGGAACCCCAACACCACGATGCATTTTTGTGTAACAGCTCATTTAATGGCGATAGAACCGTCGATGCATTAGGCAGGAAACGGCGATAGTGAGATAGCATTCCTAAGAACGAACGGAGTTCATCACAACTCTTTGGCTCTGGGCTTTCTAAAATAGGTTTAACCTTGTCATTTAAAACATGTAAACCGTGTTTATCAAGCCGGTATCCAAGGTAACAAACGGAAGGTGAAAGGAACTCACATTTAGACCTTTTCAATCTGAATCCACTTCGCTCCAAACGCTCGAGCACGACCGCGAGTGTTCGAAGATGCTCTGTATCCGAGCGTCCAGAGATAAGAATATCATCCAGATAAGCACACGCAAAAGGAATGTCCTTCACTAGGTCGTCAATAATTCTCTGAAATATTCCGGGGGCGGAATTAATGCCAAAAGGTAAACGAGTATATTGAAATAGTCCCATGTGCGTGGTGATGGTAGTAAGTTTCCTCGAAGGTTCATCGAGCTCTATCTGCGAGTATGCATGACTCAGATCGAGTTTGGTAAACTTTTCACCACCAGCTAGTGTTGCATACAAGTCATCAATACGTGGCAAGGGGTACCTGACCAGCATGGATGCTTGATTTATGGTTATCTTGTAGTCACCACAAATCCGTACGGAGCCGTCCGGTTTGGTTACTGGCACAATTGGAGTTCCCCAGTCAGAAAAGTGTACAGGAGTAATAATACCTTGAGTCTGTAGGCGGTTTAGTTCCTCTTCAACTTTAGGCCTCATAGCGTATGGTAGTGTGCGCGCCTTAATGAATTTTGGTCGAGCGCCTTCCTTTAGTTTTATCGCAGCCTGAAATTCTTTCAACTTCCCAAGCTCCTCGGAAAAAACAGCTGAATGTTGTTTAAGTAATGTTTCAAGTCCGGAGATCTCGGTGACTAATTTTACCACATTCATTGTATCCGGGAAAGCACGTATCCAGTCTCTTCCAAGCAGATTTGGACGATCCCCGGGGATCACATATACAGGAAGTGTGCGTATTTTGTCGCCATACTGTGCCTTCACGAAGCATTTACCAAGGACACGTATAGGTTCACCGGTGTATGTGCGAAGAACAGAATTGCAAGCGGATAAGTTCGGGAGCGTTTTTACAGCGTTTTCCCGGATTATCGTCACGGATGCTCCTGTATCGATTTCCATCTGTACCTTTTGTCCTTCAATGTAAAGCTCTAGAGTGTATGGCGCCGGCTGCATGCTAGAAACGGAATTAAGCCAAATGGAATGTAATTCAGGGTCGCTACCATCAGACTCGTCCACAGTTTTGATGGGGTTTGCTCCTCGATAAGCCCCACCTGAACGTCGCTTGACCGATCTACACACTCGCGCCAGGTGGCCCACCTTCCCGCAGCTTCGACATACTGTCTTCTGATGCCGGCAGTCGGATGGACAACTGTGCTGCTCACCACAACGATAGCACACAAACAAATTGACGCCAGTGGGTGGCTTTGGTTTTGGTGTAGTGTTAATCAATCGCAGCTCATCTGACGAGTCCTTCAGCGTAAATGTTGCGAGTTGTTGTGTAAGGTGTTCCCTCTGCCGGGCAATCGAGCAGGCCGTCTCCCAGGTCAGTGAACAATCATCTTGTGAAAGGAGCTTCTCCCGCGTGCTCTGGTCTGAGATTCCGGCTATCAAACATTGGAGTAACATGGTCTCTTCAAATCTCGTTGGATCGACTTCATTGTATTTACAATCAGGTGCTGCTTGTAGTACACGAGCGATGAACTCGTTCACACTCTCATCTGGTTTCTGGCAGAGTTTCGAGAAGTAGTATCTAGCCGTAAAAACATTCTGACGAGCACCCCAAAGAGCACTGAAGGTTTCCAAAGCGCCGGTTATCGTAGAAGAGATTTGATCAATACGAAGTGCATCGAAATACCTTTGACCCTCATCTCCAAGAAACTGTCTCAAGAGCTTCACTTTGTTTTTCTCAGTAAGAGATACTGCTGGATTCAAGATTGGAAGCAATTCCAAGTAATCCGTAAAGGTTTTCCGCCATCTATGCCACGAGTCCAGGGAAGGTTTGTCGGTAGAGCACGACCAGAAGACCGGTGGAGTATTTGTCATGGACATGTTGACCTCCGTCGCCAGATATCACAGCTGGACTCTAACCGCAAGTACGTATTTCAACTAGTAGCGAATAAGCAAGAAGACGCGTCAGTCTGGCGCACAGTATACTGAACACGTAAAAAACGGTTTAATGTGATAACACGGACCGTGTAGGGTGTGTCCTGAGTGCATTGTGTGCGCTGTTATCTACGTGGTGTGTGTGTTAGGGCCTATCAGCTCCACGGTCATTGTGAGCGTATAATTGGTAAAAACACGTATAACAGAGGACCCACTCCATCCTGAATAGTGCTGGTGGGAGGGAATCCGGGGCCGGCGTCACGGAAACGATCGAGGGCTGTGGATTTGCTCGTCTTCGGACTCTCGGTCTCCGACGGTGGCTATAAACTAACCGTCCATGGCTCGTCCTGCATCACCTAAGTAGGAAGAGGTCCGCGAGCAGGGGGCCAGTTGAACTGATCTTGAAAGCGTCCCGTTCAACGAGACATACGGCGCTCCTTATTGTGTATCAGTGCACCCGCGCTGTCTCTGATTGTCTCACTGACGCCTGGTTCCCTGGGACCAGTGGTGCGGATCAGTTGGAACAGCTTGCGGTAATTGCCTACTGCTCCTGCTTCCTCCATTTCTTGAGCCCGACTGGTCCACCATGCTTCTTTGTCAGCACGTAGGCTCCGCTTTAGTTCGCGCCTAATAGCCCGTCTGGTGACATTGTGCTCAGACCCAGCTGGGAGGTTTCTTCTGGATTCCAACATGTTCACCGACCTCTCGGATATCCAGTGACTGGTGCGGTGACCATTGATAGTGCCACAAGCAGATGCTCCTGCGTCATGCATGACGGCCGAGATCCTACTCCACTGAAGCCGTGTGATAAGAACACAGCGAAAGTTCGGTATGCAGTGCGTCTTGATAAGCTTGCCTGACCGAGGACTGAAACAATTTCTCAGTAGGCACTAGAAGAAGACGCCTGGTGAGCCTCGCGGTAAAGTTCATGGAGAAACGACAGCGTACTTGGGCATGATCAGAGTCGACGTAGGTATCCCAGTACGAGCGGTAATTGAGGATGGAACCAGGCCACTTGTAACTTATGGCAAGGTGGTCAATTTGGGTCCATCGCTGGCCAGCTACAGGAGGACGCCAAGTAGCACTTCGGCGCCCACTGTGTCTAAATGCGGTGCTACTAAAAATAAGTAGTGCTCCGCACACAGTTGCACCAGACGCTTGCAGTTGTCAGTCCGCTCGGAGTAAAGCCCATAGTTATCACCCAGCTAACTTTCTGAAGAGCTAATACGCCCTACGTGTGCGAATGACATTCTTTCATCGCGTGCGTATGTTTCGGCCGCATTAACAGCTTTAAAGGACTGAGACACCTGACGTTGTGCTGTCTTTGGTTTTATATCTGCATTTTATGTTTTACCGAGCAACCATAATTGTGACTTTACGCAGAAAGACACCTATCGTGTCTACTATACTTTTGATGGAGTTGACAGATTGTTATCTTTTTCTCCTACTACACTGATACCGATTCTAACACCAAATTTTGCTGAGCTCAAACTATCGCATCTTTCGAGAAACCAGTGACTACATGTCACATTGCGCTCCGCAAGCCGAGTCTGACACCGGTTCTGAGCAATTAAGCTTACAGCATCGCATCCGAATCAGCTGGCGATAGAATCCATGACGACTTAAAACAGACTACTTTAGCCATTACAAGGGGAGGAGGCAAGAGGTTAAAAGAAAGTAAGACGTAGACCGGTTTGTAGAAGACTACTAAGCAAGGAGCGAGGTTTGATCGGACCTTAGAGGACGTGATTTCATTCGTACGGATTTTGACTTACCAAGCGTAGGAATCCATGGGGCATCAACATTGTCAGGGATGAAGCACAGTTCCCTTGAAATACAGCAGCAATTCCAATGAGTTGGGAAAAGTTCTATAGCAAAAACAACAAGTGAGCTGGGAAATCGAGTAGGACGAGAAGTCCGTATGACCGAGACACCGGGTTATTGAGGGATTGCGATATCTCCAGACGGTGAATAAGCTTTGCGATACTTATCAAACAAAACGAAATTGATCAGAAGTAAGCAGGTAAGAATCAACCCAAATAGTACTGAACTGATGTAAAATCCATGAGATCCGAATTCGTTTGGAGTGGCGCGGCGAGCCAATGCTTTAGGTTCCCGATCGGGAAACAACAGGCAGGTAACCGGAAAACGCGCAGCGAGAAGACCGTGGATGATGGATTCCGAGTAAGCATGGAAGTGCGAACCATTTTGAATCACAAGAGAACTGACAGACAAATTTTCCGATCAGTGTTATTCAAACACTGTTTACAGGCCACGTTACCCAGAAGTTAAGTGAAACCGTTGACTTTTGATTACTCACAGCCATACTGACGCGTTACAGCCAATCGGCTGTAAAATATTATGCTCAGTGTTATTCAACACTAGTTCCACGTAAAGCTTCCGAGCGACAAACAATATGCTTATGCGACACCATTTTCCAAGCCGAATTGAGACAGCAAGCGGGTTAACGATGTCAGTAACCGCAGCAAACAAGCAACCCAGAACCTCACCTAGACACCTCCACGCGCATTGGTTGAAACGCCATATAAGACCTTGAAAGCGACGCTGTGATTGGGGCAGAAACTACGAGGTTGTTCCGTGTCTAGAAATTTCACCTAGGCCACAAGGTCACCAAGGATCGTTATATATTTGAGGCCTCTGCTCCTCGCCTCAGCTTCTGCCGTTGTTTGCTTTTTGTGCTTCACAATGGTTGCAGTTGGTATTGACCTTGGTACTACCTACTCGTGCGTTGGCGTCTTCCAACATGGGAAGGTGGAGATAATCGCGAATGATCAAGGCAATCGGACGACACCCAGCTACGTTGCTTTCACGGATACCGAGCGATTGATTGGCGATGCGGCGAAGAACCAGGTGGCGATGAACCCGCAGAATACAGTGTTTGACGCCAAACGACTGATCGGGCGTCGCTTCAATGATCCTTCTGTGAAGGCTGATCGCAAGCACTGGTCGTTCGATGTGATCGCAGACGGCGATAAACCGAAGGTACGTGTGGAATTTAAAGGCGAGACGAAGACGTTTTCCGCAGAGGAGATATCATCAATGGTGTTGACGAAGATGAAGGAGATCGCGGAGGCGTATCTGGGTAGGACAGTAAAAGATGCAGTGATCACGGTGCCTGCTTACTTCAACGACAGTCAGCGTCAGGCGACTAAGGATGCGGGTATGATAGCTGGTCTGAATGTGTTGCGTATCATCAACGAGCCGACGGCTGCTGCGATCGCGTACGGGCTGGACAAGAAAGTTGGTGCTGAGCGCCACGTGCTAATTTTCGATCTCGGCGGCGGTACATTCGATGTGTCGGTGTTGACGATCGAGGATGGTGTGTTTGAGGTGAAGTCGACAGCTGGTGACACTCATTTGGGTGGCGAGGACTTCGACAACCGGATGGTTAGTCACTTCATATCCGAGTTCAAACGGAAGCATAAGAAGGATATTAGTGACAACAAGCGTGCAGTGCGTCGGTTACGCACGGCGTGTGAACGTGCGAAGCGTACGTTGAGTTCGAGCGCTCAGGCGAATTTGGAGATCGACTCGTTGTATGAGGGTATTGACTTCTACACGACGATCACGCGTGCGCGTTTTGAGGAGCTGAATGCGGATTTGTTCCGTGGTACACTCGACCCAGTGGAGAAGGCGCTGCGTGACGCGAAGATGGACAAGAACCAGATTCACGACATCGTGTTGGTGGGTGGTTCGACGCGTATCCCGAAAGTGCAGAAGCTGTTGCAAGATTTCTTCAACGGTAAGGAGTTGAACAAGTCGATCAATCCGGATGAGGCGGTGGCCTACGGTGCTGCTGTGCAGGCTGCAATTTTGACGGGTGACAAGTCTGAGGTAGTGCAGGATCTGCTGTTGCTGGATGTGGCTCCGTTGTCGCTGGGTCTGGAAACGGCAGGTGGTGTGATGACGGCGTTGATCAAGCGGAACACGACGATTCCGACGAAGCAGACGCAGACGTTTACCACGTATTCGGACAACCAACCTGGTGTGCTGATTCAGGTGTACGAGGGTGAGCGAGCTATGACGCGAGACAACAACTTGCTTGGGAAGTTCGAGCTGTCGGGTATTCCGCCTGCGCCGCGTGGTGTGCCGCAGATAGAGGTGACGTTTGACATCGATGCGAATGGGATTCTGAATGTGTCGGCGGTGGAGAAGACGACAGGGAAGCAGAACAAGATAACGATCACGAACGACAAGGGACGTCTGTCGAAGGATGAGATTGACCGTATGGTTGCGGAGGCAGAGAAGTATAAGGCGGAGGATGCGCATCAGCGTGATCGTGTTGCAGCGAAGAATGCGTTGGAGAGCTATGCTTATTCGATGAAGCAGTCGGCGGAAGACGAGAAGTTGAAAGATAAGATACCGGAGTCTGACCGCAAACTGCTGACAGAGAAGTGTTCTGAAGTGCTGACTTGGTTGGAGACGAATCAGACGGCGGAGAAAGATGAGTATGAGCATAGGCAGAAAGAGTTGGAGAAGTTGTGTACTCCGATCATCACGAAGATGTATCAGGCTGGTGGTGGTCCTGAGGGAATGGGTGGCATGCCTGGTGGTTTTCCTGGCGCTGGCGGCTTTCCTGGAGCTGGTGGCGCCGCGGCTGGTGGTGGTGGACGAGGTCCAACGATTGAGGAGGTTGATTAATTTTATGTTTTACCACGTATTGTTTCCTTTGGGTTCATTCTTTATTCGGTGTGTAATAGATTCTCCTATCTCTTGCTTGCCGTTGTTTTCGGTTTGCACGGGCTCAGGGTTGTCTGTCACCGAGTCGCGTTGGTTATGATCTTTGTGACGGGGTGGCTTGTCTCTCCTGTTCTTGCGAGGATGTAGGTTAAATGCGTGTTGTTTCTGATCCAGATTTCGATGTCGTTTATCGTGAAGCGGTGTTTGTCCTTGTATCCTCGACATTTCTGTTTGGACTTTCGCCCTGCATGTTGGTGTAGGGTCTTTGCATTGTCGTGATTTGTTCCGTTTAACAATTCTCGTCCTACTAGTCTTGTCCTTGCGTCCTGTGTTGGCACGTGTATCTTGTACACCTAGTGGTACCGCGTGTCCGTGACAACAGTCCGCTTCCTGATAGGCTTACTCTCATAGGCTCCACCTTTTTGAGGCCATAGCACAAGAGGTTTTCGGGCAATTGAGTTCCTGTTTTGACCAATCTTCGCATCGTTTTCGGTGATTAAACCTTTGCGTAACCTGAAACTTGTACAGCCAATTAGGCAGCATACTGCTCTGGTCGGGGCTAACACGTTTATCTACGCGTTTGCTAATGGAGAGGCTATGGCAAGTGAGTACCAGGCACCGGGTACTGTACGGTATAAATCAAAGTGCTTGGTTCCTATGGTTTTATTTGTATCTGTGGCTTAGCACCTTGTTACGATGAAAGATGAGCTGCGTGGTTTTACCTGAATATCGTGTCGCTCACCACTGTTAACATAAGATGGTCAACTGATTGTTCTCCGTACTCTTCCGAATTGAAATCGGTGTGTGGAATAAAAGGTATTAGACACCGCTAACAGCTGTACCGAATGCTGTCTGAGAGGACAGGATGATGCTGCAACGTATAACAATTGGGGTTTTGTATAGCTGGCTACGATTATGGTTAGGTACTGCGAGTTTATCTGTCCGATTTCTAACCTATATCGGAGTGAATCGACTTGTGGGTTACCGGGGCTTTAAAGTATGCGAAAGGGGCTACTTAGTGGGATAAACTGTGCCTATCGTTGTCTATCACATTGCTTCACTATTATCCCCTTCGGTTAGCTCCTGCACAATACATGTTTCCTGCCTTGGAAGACGGTGTTTTTGAGCAGCGGAGGATTCTTCGTTATCATGTGCTGCAGGGTCGAAATCGATAGGAATCTTTAGCAGATCGAGTTACAGGAAAACTTGCATTTAACCTTGGAACGTAGTATTTCGTAGGAAATAAGCTGGAGCTTTACATGACCCATAAGGTGTAAAGAAATAGGGTCGGGTCCTATGGAAACGCCTAGTAACCTTATAGCGGGTTTGATTCGCCTATTAGCCGTATCTTCATCGGGCCTATGTAGCATTCGAAGAGAATGTGCGCCGGCTCGAAGCGCCACACCCCACCACGCCCTCTGATACAACTAGGGAAAGAGGAATAGTAGCACAAATGAAAATAGTCTCCATCAGCATGTAAGTTGGGAGTATAGGAACAAGTTGTCGTGCCTTGTGAGAAGCGGCAGAGAGATGACTGGGGCTAGTCTGGGTTATGGTATTCCAAACTTCAGCTAGTTGTCTCAGGCGAGATCACATTGCAGGTCGGCAAGATGACGGTCCAGGCGAGTCTTGGAATCATCCACAGAAGATGCCGAGATTACGTCGACGTACAGGGCGTTCCACGATCGGCAGACTGGCAGAGCGAAGAAATGTCTCCTGCATTTCACCTGGCTGTGCTGATATGTGAACCGGAGTGGGTGACCACGACGATGGGAGCATGAGTGGTGCAGTTTCATTAACTGGCAGCAGAAGTGTTCAGGGTTGGATAGAATTGCAGATAGAAGGATCAAGTCGTCCCGAAGCCGTCGGTATTTCATGGAGAAGAGACCAAGGCGACGGAGCCGTTGTGGATAATCCAAGTGTCTGAGACCCCGTACTAATTTTGTCGCCCGACGTGGGGCTTCAAGCATACGCTGGTCTTTGAGTAACCAGGGTTTCCAAACCTGAATAGCAAACACCAAGTGAGGACGTAGGAAGATGTTTAAGAGTAGGCGGAAGTTCCGCGGGTCGATTTGGCTGAAGGCACCTTTTAACAGTCCCAGCATGCGGTTAGTAGTACATTGGAGAAGCGGAAGGGCGGATGGAAAAGACGCGACATTTCGAAGAGTTAAACGGGAGCGTGTTTTCCGGTGACCACTGATGTAGACGGTTGAGGTCTCTCTCAAGTGCGCGGTTATCGTCTGGAGCATCGATCGTGCGCCACAGCTTCGCTTCGTCGAGGTAGAGCAGCATCGAGGACTGGACTTGTGTTGTGATACCATTGATGAAGGATAGGAAGAATTCCGGTCCAAGAACGGACCCCTGTGGAACTCCGCTTGTCACAGGGATACGAGAGGACAGCACTCCGTCGACGCGTACATGAACGGTACGGTGATGGAGGTAGTTCCGGATTCAGCGTATTAGGTCCCCGGATATACCTTAGAACAACAGCTTATGCATTAGGATAGCATGGTCGACTTTGTCGAAAACCTTAGAGAAATCTTAGAAGATTACTTTCGATTCCAGGCCGGTGTCAGTCGCAGTCGTCCAACTATCCCGTGCGAGTAGCGGGTTACTCAGACATGACCGTTGCCATCGGAAGCCGTGCTGTCAGTCGGAAATCAGTTCCTGAGCCTCAAGGTGGTCCACTAAAGCATCTACGATGATCGATTCCATCACTTTGGAAATCGTAGAGAGGATGGTTATCGGTCGTTAGTTGATACGCTTGCTGCTTTTGTAGATTGGCGTAATTGTACCGCATTTCCAGTCGTTGGAGATTTCACCGTGCGAGACGAAATGAGTGAACAGCTCCGTTAGAGTTACAGCGCCGGTTCGCAGGAGCCTTGGAGGGAAACTGTCTGCGCCTCGGGAGGCTGTTACCTGCAGGGATTTAAGCTGCGCAAGCACCCTCCGAATTGAACTGAACAGTGGTCATGGACGTTGAATCTGAGAATTGAGAATCTTTGGATGATAAAGAGCAGAAGGAATATCCTTTGTCAGCTACTTCACTTCCCGATCATTGCGGAGTTGGCGTGGGTCATTGCGGTACAAGGTTCCGCAGAGGACCAGTGTAGCTGTCTTAGAGGCAGCAGAATCCCAGCGCACTCAGGTGAGAATCCAACAGTTGTTTGAAACGTCCCTCTGTCTCAGCATCAACAATAAGCTCCGGCAACCGGTTCCAGTCATTCACTACGCGAGTTGATAAGCCTAGATTGAGCCGCACACGGAGATTCCCCGGTTTGAACAGTTTCAAGCGGTGGCCTCGTGTCGAACTCCCAGTGTTGAGTTGAAAGAAGTCCTGTAACTCGCAACCCAGTTCTCCTCTGAGAATACGTCGAGTGAATAGCAAATCTCCGCGGTGACGGCGGTAACCTAGAGAGAACAACTTCAGTCGTTGAAGTCGGAGTGGATACGACAGGTCTCTCAACTCAGGTACGGATTTGGATCCACGCCGTTGAACCTTCTCTATCATATTACATTCGGATTGGGTGAGAGGATAGGCAGCGGATAGCCCGTATCCGAGAATCGGGTATGTATGTGAGCCAAAGAGGAGTCGGAAAAGCCCCTGTAGGCCGTGTCTACCCTCTTCTGGGTGTCTTGAATAGATTTGAGGTCTGATGACACTATCAGTCCAAGATCCCTCTCTTGGGTTGTGCTTCTGAGCAAGGAACCACCAAACTGGTAAGTTCCAGATGGGTTAGATGAGCCAACGGGGAGAACAGTGCATTTATCACGATTTACGGGCAACTGCCGCTTAATCGAGCGTAGACTGTAATCTGTCCGTGTCTTGAAGGCTAGATACTTCCATCCACAGCTTTAGGTTGTCAGCGTAGATTAGGCATTCCGTCTGAAGTGTAGACGGTAAGTCGTTGGTGAAGATATTGAAAAGTACGGGACCGAGGACAGCCCTTCGGGACCCCACTCGTTATGAGAACAGGAGCAGAAAACGTGTCATTCACATTCACTTGAATGGAACGGTCGTTTAGGAAGTCGGCGATCCAAGACAGGAGGTTCCCAGAAATACCGATTGCTTGGAGTTTAAACAGAAGCCGTTCATGCGGGATTTTGTCAAAAGCTTTGCTGAAATCAACAAATACAACGTCCAAGCGTTTGCCGGAGTCTAGCGACCTTGCCCCGGTCTCCTTAGCAACGAGCAAGTTCGAGGTACAGGAGCGTGCTTTGCGGAACACATGCTGGGTATAAGAAATGACATTCTGTCCCACAAGATGAAAATGAACAGCCTGTTTTGGGATCCGTTCCATAACTTTACACACTATTGACCTCAAACAGATTGGACGATAATTGGTCGGATCATGTCGACTTCCTCCTTTGTAGATGGGTTTGACGATACCCACTTTCCAAGCTGACGTAAGACGGCCAATTTCTAGTGAGCGACAAAAGACTTGGCATATGGGTGGAGCTATGTAATCCGTCACAGTCCTGAGGAACAAAGGATGCAATCCATCAGGGCCGGGTGAGCTTGTACGGATCTAACTCAAAAGAAGTTTCATCACAGAATTAGTGCTAATATTTACTTGGACCAACGAAGATGGAAAGGTGGATACTGCTCTGGCACTAAATTTTGTTTCGCATAAACAAGCGTATTGCTTAGCCAAGTGACTAGCGTTTGTGAGTCCGGGATCGTGCGCCACCAGCACCGGTTCTGGTAAGGCGGAAGTGGACCGCCGGCTCACCACCCGAAAATCCACCAATCGGGCTTTAAGATTTCTCACAGCTTCCCGCAATTTCAGCCTATCTGCCAAAGGGAGGTCTGGGTGCACAATGACGCCAGTGCCCTTGAGCTTAAAAGCGAAACGCAGAAGTGCTTGGTGCTCCTCCGGAGTGGACAGAACAACTGTTAACCAGCGAGGGCGAGACTTGTCAGCTTGCAGGTTACCGAGTCTGGTTAGTTTGCGCACATTCTCGGGGAAGCCGGGCGGCAGTAGTTTGGCAACGCATATTCTAAACCACTGATGGTCAACTAGCATGCGGTCTTT